ATATATATATATATATATATATAATATTAGATAGATACACAAGCGGAACCCGGGAGTCATTTCCAGACCTCCAACTCTTTCTCCTTTCCTCCTCCCTTTCCGTCTCATTCACTGTCTCTTTCTGTTTTTTCCCTCTCTCTACGCCTGTCTGCCTCTGTCTCTCTCAATACCAGACTCTCCCAGAAGTTATTTCAAAATCGCAGGGGCAGACACTCTTAATACTTCAGGGTGCTGCGGGTTGCGTTAGATCGCCGTTGCGTTGAGAGCCTAAACTGGGGCGCTTGGGTCAGCAAAAAATCATCAACGCGCGTAGGCATGTGCACATTCTCATCGTACTATGGCTATATTCTTCCCACAAGAGCAAACAATAAGTTGACAGAGATTTAGCGCAATCGGATGAACGGTACGGCAGCGCATAAAGTACGATCCAACCAACCAACATTGTCTTTTTATATATTATAATATTAATTTTATATAATTTTAATTTTATTTTTCATATAACTAAAAGAAGCGAAGTAGAAGTTTTGAACAATACTTCAGGAAATATATTATTTAAATCAAATGAATATTGACCAATGAAAGTGAATAGTGAAAGATCATGAGGGAGATCAAGTATTTCTATATTGTTCATGAAAATATCTAGAAATGTAAGTAATCTAAGTAGTAAATATGGGTATCTAGGAGGTAATAACATTTCTGATAGGAGGTAATAACAAATGTCCGTCCTCCTTTCTAGGTCTATTGGACACGAAAGAAACCTCATAACACATTCCCCTTTATTATTTCTGCATTTAATTGCAGAACAGTGTGCTTCTTTCGACACACGCATTGTTCTTAATGTGTTAACTGGAAACGTATAAGAATTCAGTTGGTGCTTATCAAATATGTTCCGATACATGTAAAATATAAAGTTAAAACGTTGGTTCGGTGTAATCTTATTTGTTATTTAATGATTTGCGCTTGAAATCCTAGAAACATAAAACCACGATGTCAAGAAATAATTCGAATTATCTTTTCTTTAAGAAGGAACTTCTTAAGATGAGAAAGTTATGTAATTGTGCACCGAAAACGGCAAATTTTCGCCGAAAAAAACAACAAAACTCTTATTGCCGGGCTATGATAACGAAAAAGTGGATAAATCCTGTTGCTAAATTTAGAAAAAAATCCTCTAAAAATGGTGTAGCCAGAATTCATGTTTTCTTGGTTCTTGTTAAGTTTCTATTAATAAACTCAATTTTACAAACAAATCCGTACACTTCTGTAGCTGCTATCCGTAGTTTTACTTGGTCTACTCCAGGGTCGCTAGCTGTAGGCGCGCGCATCCGTAACTAGCTAAAAAAAGACGGCCTGATCTGCGCTACTGCATAAATACGTATATTGTGAAGATATGCCAAAAGGAGTTAGTGAGCTGTTGTCTTAAAATATTTAAATTGTCAGAACACTCATAGAAAAACTGGTGGTATGTTTTCAGATGCAAGTGACGCAATGGAAGTTGGATCAGAGAAGAAACTTTCATCGCAGGGCGGTGAAAGTACTGAAGTATCTACTGAAAAGAAGATATTTCAGAAGTGTAGTGATGTAGTGAAACACCCAAATGAAATTTACGAGAACTACCGGAGTAATTCTTCTTTACCAGAGAGCCAGGAGAAAGATTCAGGAGGAGAAATAAAGATGGTGAATGTGAAGAGTTCTTTACCAGAGAGACAGGAGAAAGATTCAGAAGGAGAAATAAAGATGGAGAATGTGAAGAGTTCTTTACCAGAGAGCCAGGAGAAAGATTCAGAAGAAAAAATAAAGATGGTGAATGTGAAGAGTTTGAATAATAGCTTAAATGAAAAACTTCCTAATGCAGACTCAGAATCAGAATGTGAAGACGTGGATGTGAAAAAGAAGAAAGTGCTTCGGAAGCGTGCTAAGAAGCATAAGACATATAAAAAACATAAGAAAGGAAAAAAACCCAGAAAAGATATTTATGACAAGTATGAATTATCCAGCGATTCAGAGCATTTGGATATTTTGGACAATGATGGAAATGAAAAAGGAGGTTTAAAGGAGTTTCTTCATGAATTGCAAAAGCAGAGAGATCAGTTTGCTGCGGAACTTCTATTGGTAAGTTCAGACAGTGACTTGGATATAATTTTAACAAAATATGCAGAAAAGAGAAAGAAGAAAGAAGAATCTGAAATAAGAATAAGAGAACAAAATGAAGAAAACAAGGAAACCCAATGTCTCAGGAAAAATGTGAATGATGAAAAGCAGAGAAAGAATTGGTGCAGAAGACAACCACTTCTTATGAAGTTTTCAGAGAACAATATTAGTGAGAGGAGAGAAAATGGAAAGCCAAAGATGCCAAAGGAAAACAGGAATAATAGTGTTGGTGAAGACTAGTGTAGAATTGACAGAACTAATCGAAGCAAATATTAGTACACCAGTGCCATTACTTTGTAGTAATTTTGTAATTTTCTAGTCAGGCATACTTTATGTATTAAGACCAATACATTTTGGTCTTTGTTGTTGTTATTGTTTTTGTTGTTGTTGTTGTTGGTCAAACCATACATTGTATACTTTATGTGTTCAGAACAATATTATTCCATGTAACAATGTCATACATACAATGACACAAAATATGCATGTTGCAGGTGTCACGAATTTCAAACACACTAGACATGCTATATGACCCGATTAATTGGGTATATCCAGTACCACAAATAGACAATTGGGATGCCAAATGTCCTGACTTTTATGTGTTCAGGACAAATGGTTGGAATTTTTAAAAAACACGAAAAACAATTCCAAATTCAGATTTACTAAAGATGTCTTCTATGTTTTCAAATAAATTTCTCAATTCAAACACAAGTGAAGTGTATCAAATGCTTAGATGTATGACCTGTTCTTCTTCCTGGTTATGTCTGAGCTCTGTAGATTCTGTTCCACTTTTTGTTCCAATATTTATGACAAACCAATAAAGAGAACTTCCTCTACTTAAAAATGAAAAAACGTTGTACTTACACCTGGCATCACTGTGATATCAGACTGAACAATGTACGGTCTGTCACGAGCATACAATGTCAAAGGGTCTCTTATTCGACCACCAAGATATTCAAAATCCACTGGCGATGGCTGCTCTCGGGTAGTTGAAATTGAGGACTCAAAAGAATCTTCCATCAAGTATGGGCTGAAAGAACACATATGTTAGTACGCAAGTATTAGTACCCAAGTTTATGGTTATCTGGTTTGATTTTTTGTTCTGTAAACTGATTTTAATTTCTATTGTTCTGTAAACTTATATATTTTGAAATTAAATGACAAATGACATAAACCAAAGCCTCGGGTGCATTGGGTTGGTTTGGCACAAAAGAACAAGATGGAGAGGATTTTTTAAAAGTTCATTACATTCTCTCCTGTAAGGGTGTGGGCACAAGGCCATCATGACGCTCTGCACCCTACACCATTTGCAAAAAGTCAAAAGGAAATATCTTCTGGACATTCACAGTTAGGACAGCTTTTCCGCAGTTTCAGTTGCGAGATATATGTGAAATTCCCCTTTTGTCATTATCATTCTATATAGAAGAGAGAATCTGGGCTTTCTTCGACTCCTTGTCTCATTTTTATCTTCTACTATTAAATATGAACATAATTGCTTCTTTACTTAAATTATGAAGTCACTGCGCACAAGATGCAGTGTGACCAAACTAACTCAAAAACTACCTGCAGTATCCTTCCATTCCATCTGTCCATGCCATCCTGGCCAAGTGTGTGCGACCCACACAAAACTGCTCTGTCTGTGCCATTCCGACCCAGTGCCCATGTAGCTCAATACTGATGTACCATGTATATAACATTTAAATATGTCTCTGTCCTACAAGTAGGTAATAAACATTGCTCTTTGGCACATATACTTAGCAATGTGAAACACACATTATGTTTCACAGAATTGGCAATACCAAATTCTCAAAATTTCCTCAGTTCTTATTTTTATTGTTGACTATCCTGTTTTTATTTCCTAGTTTTAAGGCACAAATAGAAAAGAAAAATTGTGGATAATGAGGGTGGGAAGAAAATCTACACAAGTATAGTGATAGACAACCTCAAGGTTTGTTCCATGGATCAAGGAAAGCTGAGCAAGAAACTTAATTGAGTTAGGGTTACAAAACAGGGCTTTCAAACAAATCAGCAAATATACAGGTCTAAAACTGTGGACCTTAAATAAATGTGATACCCAACATTTGAAAATAAATGTTGACATTATTCTAGGCAATCTTTAAGCCAGTCTTGGGAAAAACTTACCGGAATCGAGCAATAGCATGATTATTCCAATCATCAAAATCAAATAATCTTCTTTTTATAACAGTTACATCAGAAGTACCCCACCAATTCTCTTCCACATTCACATAATTGTCGATTTTGGCTGTTCTTATACCAGCCAATAATTCATACTGCATCGAATTGTTCCCAAAAAGATTATGATTCACATCCACTTTTTGAATACCACGGAAACCCAAAACATAAGATGGAGTTCCAGAGGTCTGAAATATACAATAGGTCATTGTTTACAATCCTATCCTCATTAATAGTACAAATCTCTTCTATAATCAGGGGAATCATATCACAACTTAGAGGGGAAAACAAAAAAAATAACAACTACCACCAATTGAAGGAAGAATTGCACCCTTTTGAAGATTTGCATCCTTGCCAGTCATCTAGTTTGTCTATAGGTGGAGCCTGTCCTGATATGTCATTACACGTTTTCGGTTTATGCCTCTACTGTTTTGCATTTGTAAACAGCTCAAAACCCAAATATTTAAGGGAAGTAAAAGAATTCAAAACATAACCCAAAAAGAAGATATTGTAGCATTAAGCATAAAAACTCTAAATATTTGCCAAAAAAGTGGAAGAAAAGCCAAAGATGCAGCTTGCTCTTTTACATTAACCACAAGAAAAAATAATTTTGTCACTGACTACACATCAACAATTAAAAAATGCTTGATTAAAGAAAAGATAAATAAGATTTTCAAATCATATTTAGCTAATAAGATTAATATTAATCTATGGATTATGCCAACCCATACTAATAAATATAATACATGCAGAAATATTACCTGATAAACTGATTTGTAACTGAGAGAATTGTCTTTATTTCTTTTAACTTCATTAAGTAAAAACCTTGCTTGAACTTCTCCAAGAATTTCTGATTGACTGTCAGCAGTAAATTCCACCATATATGTTCCAATATTTCCTTCAACTCTATTTCTCATTATCTTCATTTTCTTTTCCATTCCTCTTACAGATATCAAACCAGTTTTGCAGTGGTTGTCAACAAATATATTATTTGTCATGTTTAATTGAGCAAAGTGGCCATCAACAATAAAAGAAAATTGTTGATTATTTCTCCATGTATTGTTATCAAAATACAACGAATGAGTGAAATTTTCATTGTACTGCCATACATATGGCAAGGATATATCAAAACCACCACCTTTATTTAGCTCTATTGTGTTGTCTTGTAAAACCCAATGATACAAGTTATTCGAGCTGCGAAGATCTCTGAAAAATAGCATTTCATATATCATACGATAAACAAAAGTCTTTACATTGTATAAAATATACTGTTTCAATGGAGTGAAATAATTACCGACTGAACTGGCGAATACCTCTTTTATTTTCAACAATATTTGTTCTGTTTATCATAAATGTTACTTCAGAGAGATTCGAATGGTATATATCCCAATAAGGAGAATTTACAAGTATTGCCTCCTCTGTATTATGAGAAATATGGCAATCAATTATTTGTACAGATTCATTAGATTTTCTCAAGAAATGATCTCCCAATTCATTTAAGTACCTGGAAAAGAAAATAAGGTCTTCAGCATTTTTCTCAGTTTCAATTGCCTTTCAGGTTCATGGCAGCTTTAGGTTGCATGTTAGAAAAGGTAAAGGCTGTGTGAAAGAACAAATATACAAAGAGAAACAATAATAAAAAAACTGAGTGAACCATAACTCAAAAATATAAAACAAACAAGACTGTTCATTTTTTAAGATCAGAAACAATCCTCTAGAAAAAGACCATAGACTTGGGCCTTTCAAAATCTGAGTTTTTATGACAATGCTACTTCTTGACAATGTTTCCTTCTTGCTACTAAAAAGATTACTCTTTTACTGCAACCAATTTTCTCTTATATAATTTGCTTTCTCCCCAAAATAGACAATTTATCTTCATGTTTAAAGATTCCAAGCAATTCATGATATTAAAATAAACAATTCCGAGGTATTTGAAGATGCTTTTAAATATTATTATGATGTAATTTTTTAAACACTCTCTACAAAAGTTAATTTAGTTTAATTAATAGGGATCTAGAAGTTGCGTGCACTTGATAATATGCAATACATTGACTGAGAAAGGAATGAAAATTGTACCCTTAGTAAAGAGCAAAAAGATATAGATTTTTAATATACACATATTCCGTAATTAATGATTTGGAAACTACTGGCTTCTAGTTAACTCCCATCACATTCTCTATTTCAGGCCTCATCAGTAAGACAGGTTAGGAGCATAGAGCTGCTGGTAGCAGCCGGAATGGAAAGTAGGAGCAATAGCCAGAGCAAAGGGTAAAAGGTGAAGGGTAACATGAAGAGAAAGCAATCAGCTCTCACATTAATAGTCCAGTGATATTTAAAAGTGAATGGGATGAATTGTATTTTATTTTCTAAAACTGGAGATATTGTTTACTTACCCATACAAAATTTTAATCGGTTAAAAAGTATTCCCCAAGAGACATTACATACTTAATAATGCAGCAGAGTGCAAGCACACTGATAAAGAGCACATTGCAGTTGTTAATATTTTGAAAAAAACTCTCTTTTTATCAAGTAGTATTTGGTTGTTCTTATTATTACCTTAGGATTTAATGCACTGATTGATTGATTAGTGATTCTGGATGCATAAAGTGCTAAGGTCTTAGTCCTGTAAGTGTATGGGATGTTTTTATCAGGAGAGATGGCAGTGATCTTCTTGCTGGATGCGCCCATCGGCTTGCAGGTTTTCCTCACTAGGTATCTCACTAGTGGGGGCACTGCCCTAGCCAGGACAAGCTCAAAGCTTTCGACATGTGTGGTAGTGTAGTTCATGTAGGTGTAGGTGTGTGTAAGTAAAGAGTGACGATAAGACAAGGATAGGAAGGAAAGATCATATGCTGTCCATGGTCCATTGGCTAGGGTACTGCTCTGGCATTTGCCTGGTGTTTTTTGGAGAAACCATGCAAAACTAGAAATCAGAGCAGCCAGCCACAAGAATTCTCCTCCAGCCAGCATCTGAATTCGACCTATGTAACTTATGTCAAAAATCCTGCCACTGTCGAGATTCAAACCCTGGTCAGAGGCACTGCAGTGACATCAAATGATGTCCTTGAGCCACCGCAGCTGGTTAATGCATCAAAATATGATTAACACTTCTTGAAATACTCTAAGCCTATATTGTTTTGTATGATATAAAGATAATACAGCAAGGCAAATGAAGAAGGCAATATTGCATCAATGAGAATTAATTACAGTGTTGTATACCAAATTGTTAAGCAACTATGTTTTTTTTTGGTAGTTTGTAATATAATTCTTAGATAAATATATATACATGATATATAACATCTCAACATTTACTGATGAAACCTTTCTGTCATAGGTATTTGTTAAACAATTTTCTTACAGAAGTATTTCAATTATTAGTATGAGAAAAGGGGAGAAAAAGAGTCTATGGGAATAGATGTTTTAGTATCAAAGCCTTTAGGCTTCTATGGAAGTCATGTGTTCAAAATATTGACACAGTAAGGGGCAAGTAGTGGCAATGTGCATTGACTGAAGTATTTCACATGCCAATGAATGTGACATTTAAAATTCCCAAAGCACTCAAGCTGGGTTTCAACTGCCAGCTGAGAGCTGGGAGCAACTGGCCTTGGCTCTAGAGCGGAAATGTGACTAGCTCTGTCCAATTTTGTAGTTTTGTCCAATTTTTACCCAACTGTAGGATATTGACTTTTCCTCCCTTATCTAAAGAAGATTTACTTTGTTTCAAAGTTAGGAGAACATCTCATTTCTCTTTATAGAACAATATCTTTTTATGTATATTAGCACAGCAATTAATTACAATAAGACAGACCACTAATTCCTATGTTGTAAGTTGAGAAGGTATAGTTAATAAAACTCACCTATTGAAATATGAGGCCCATACTCCATATTTATTTCCTTTAATTTGTGAATTACTCACAACAAGGGTTGGAACAGGTCCCCGAACAATGCGATTTTTCACATTCTGTAGAGGCGCTAAAAGTTATAACCATGTGTAAATTATAAATTAGAAAATTTTTAATTTTGTTTAGAACATATAACAATTTCAATTAAAACAAACGTAATATCATACCAGGATAGGATGATAAAACTATAACTGTTCCTCCAAGAGCATCAAAACCACTACTATACACTATTACAATTCCATATGAACTGCTTACAACAGGAAAAACAACCAAATCTTGAGATAAATTCCACTGCTGAGACAAGGGGTTAATTGTCAATGAATCATAAATTATTATTTCTTCTGTGCTTCGGTTATGTATTGGGTTCAGCAGTTGTATACCAATAACATAACCAGGCTGGCACTGGAATAATTTAAAACTTCTATTACAATATATATTAAATAATTAAACAAATGTAATTGCATATGAAATTATACCTATTACACTAAGCTTCAAATTTTAATATTGCTGCTCAGAAATTGCATCCAGCTTTTGTAATTTAATTTGGCTTTCGCCAAACTCATTTTATTTGCATTGTAATTTAAAAAACTCATTGGCAAAAAAATAAACTTTCACTTTGCCAAAATAACAAGACATACTAATTGTTTAGAAGGGTTAATTGATTTTTAATAACAACAATAATTAAATAATTACCTTCACATAATACTCTCTGTTTAGACTGTCACCCTTAACTCTGGAAGTCACCAAATACAGAGTCTTATCTTCGACATCAAATCTGGTGAAATGATGAGGAATAAAAATTGGCTTATACGGGGCATCTTGGACATTAGCTAAATCACCAGAGGGTGTGAACCATCCAGCTAATTCCCGTTGTTGTTGACTAGATAATGCAGGATTGTGTCGAATTCCAGCTCTTTTATTATTTTCTATTCGTGAACCTGACATGGGAAATATAAAAACAAATGATATTAACTGCTAAAACACGAGGAAAATTGTTGCAAATATCTGTTTAAGATAACCTGTAACAGTGCAATGAAATTACCTGATATCTTCAGTCCCAACTGTTTGAAACTAATTCCACTACCTCGGTTATTACTAAATTCACTATTTTTAACTGTATTCGCAACATCTCGAGAAAAGAGATCCGAGTATACAATGCCCAGCCCATCCTGAAGATTATCAACCACTCGGATGGCCTCCAGAGCATGACGTGAAAAGTCAATCTGCAAGGCTGCGAAGAAAGATAAAGTATTAGGAAGATTTAATTTCATCTGTTTTCAGCATTGCATTGCCAGTTAAAACCCTTCACATTGTGTTGTATTTCAGACATCACCAATTTTTAGGGTAAACTGTCATATCACTTTTTAATACAATTTTAAGTAGTTTTCTTTTACATTCTAAGACAAAATATTTGTGACACAACATGTCGTATTTCTTGTATTCTTCAAAATGATTACATAATATTTTAATACTAGCCAAACCCTTGTGAAAATTTAGCACATTTAAATTCAATTGCAAAAGTTTTCACAGCCAATGAGGGGTTAATTCACTTGGGACTCATCTCATTTATTAGTCATATTGAGAGAGTCATATCACAAGAGTTTCAAATTTGCATAAATATTTGCCCTAACTTTAATTAGAACTTGAGAATGCAGGTTTCTTCAGTAAGAATGCTTGTCACCAGTTCCTTCAACAGTCATTTTTAATGTTGTTATTTTTTTGTCCCTGCCCCCAACAGATTTGATGAAAATTTACATAATTATTTAATTCAAAATCATTTCTTCTCATATTTTGAAGAAAAAAAAGAAACAAACAAAAAAACACCTGTACATAAAATTAAATTATTTTAAGATTAACTTTTGAAAATAATTACAATTGAACTTACACCATTAATGTAAGTGCATTTACTCTATTCAAGCAAAATATTTGTAGCTATTTTTTGAGAAAATTTTGAAAATGTCGTAGGGGTTTCATGTAAGGAACTCCAAAAATTGAAATTACATCAGTTTCAAATTCACAAGGCCTCAAGATTGGCCTGTTCAATATGAAAATTTCAATTTTTGAGAAAATCCCGTGTATGGTTTAGGGCAAGCCTTCACAATTCTCTATGAATCCATGACTTGGCACCTGGCGTACTGTTTGTGGCGGTAGTTAACACTCCAAACTCAGAGACACTACTATATGGTGTATTGCTCAAGAAATCATGTTCAACTTGCAAAACAGTTTTAATTAATCATTGCCACTGGTATCCTCTACCTTCATTTAGTTTTAATCATTCAATTCATTTTTTCTTAAGAATGTATTTATGAAATATTATCATACCACATGGATGGACAGGAGGACAAGCAAATTGACAGAGGGGCTGATAGGCATGGATTGTTGTGCATTTTCTAAAAACAACTCTTTTGGTATGAGGCACCCTCCAAAATATGTATTTTTGTAAAAACTGAACTCTTGATTTTTTACAGCATTACAATTTTTCTTCTAAACTCTGAATATGAGAAAGCACTATACGCAAAGTAAAAAGGACCATCATAGCATTCACTAGTATTCTAATTAGTCTTCTTGTCCATATTAATATTCTAGTAGTCATTCTTAATAATGATGTCGGTGCTTACACCTGATAGACCTACTTGAAAATGGGTGAATGGTTTAGATGAATAAGGATTATGAAGGTATCATATAAATGATGATAAAGCAATGGTGAAATGAGAAGAGCAAAAAAAGAAAAACCCAGAGAAAACCTGTTGTGAACCTGTTTTGTCCACCACAAATTCCCCATGGGTCAACTAAGATTCGAACCCTGGTCCTACTGATGGAAGGCAAATTGTCTGTTTGCTGCATCATGCTTTCCAGTAGTCACACTCAATATTAGAGCCACAATATTTTTAACAATTTTTGTTCTCTCCATAAATATATTTGTCAAGGAGACTTCTGCCATCAATTATCTTTTATACTAATTTTTGAATGATTGATTATCCCATTCACCAAATTTATGCATGAAAGTATATTTTCAAGTACTTCAAAAAGTATTGGAATTAAGAAATGGTCTTTTTCTCATGTGAATATTTCTGAAATTTTAAGGTATAGGATTTTAACAGCAGTAATAGACTAACAATATTTAATGACATTTTATAGAGCTTTATAATTCCTCAACCTTTAAACTGGCCATTACAAATGGGCAGTTAATAGTCGACAGAATGATATTGCTGTTTTGTGCCCTATTTTCAATCATAACTACATTGGCCTTGTTCTGCCATCATTTCAAATTTGGCTTAATACTATATGCAGCTCTACACACTGCCAGTTACAGAAGTAGTCATTTAATCAAGATGAGGTTACAGGAAGCACATATCAACTCTAATTACTATGCCATAAAGTATGTTTTCTTTGAAATGTTTTTAATTATGTTCTTAAAATCAGGTATTGCTGCTGTAACATGAAGAATACATAAATATCATGAGAATGCAGTGGAATTGGTGATATATTATTTTGTAAAGTGACTGTTACTAATGCCTGAAAAAAATTAATATCCTTGCAAGTTAAGCAACTCTGTATACAAGCAAGTTAACTGTTCTAAGCAAGATAACAATGCATCCCATCACAGAAAGGAATTGAATGAACAGTAATTTTCACTGCACTTCCTCTTCTACTACAGTTCAAAATCACTAAAAGAGACTTCTTAATGAAGGTCAATCTACAAAATGTGCCTAGCCACTGACTGCATAGCTAAGAGACTGCTGAAATATGGAAATATTTACATGTGTTAAACACGTTGTTAAAGGGGGTGACCGCTTAATTGAGGTGGCCGTTTGACCAGGTTTCACGGTACTTTCCATTTGAATAATTACACAAAATCTACCTGGTTTGAATGCATTTGTGGCATAATCCAGAAGACCAGCTTTCTCAATAGTAATATACTGGAGGTCAGATCTCTCAGCTAATACACTAAGCCGCATGCCTGCCCACGAAGACTCATAACAGCGTAAACCTACATCATTTTCATGAGTACATGAATTTTCAAATTCACCAATATGTTCAGCTCGACATTTGGTAATATCAACATCTTCATCTGTGCATCGCACGTTGCTGTAAAACAAAGACAATAGATTTTAATCATAATGTACAATAACATTATTACTTGTAAATGTATTTTAACAAAATAATTCATGGCAATCATTTAGTCCCACACTCTTTGCACAGATTATTTCTTCACTTTGCATTCCTATTGAGACTTGAGAAACTGGATATCGCATCCTGTACCTCAATATTATATCCTCATTAGCTCCTGCTGCTGGTATTTCTGAACGTTCCAGAAACCAATCACCAGGGTTCAACACTAAACCCAACTGATGACAAGCAAGTGCCGCATCTCTCAATGTCCAGCCATAATTGCATACTGTGCCCCAAGAAGACCCTATTCGGACTTGTAAACGACCTTCTTTTGAAGTGAGTCCACCTAGTAATCTCACAGGAATTTGACTTTCGATAGGCAAGATTTCTGTGGTATCATTTTCTGAAACTTCCAATACTTGTTCTTCTCGTAATGTTAAATGAATATTGTTACGTCCACTCCCTCTGGCTTCAATATATCCCGCAACCATTATTCCTACAGAAGAAGGAAATCTGGGGACAGATAGCACATGTGATAATTACTTACTTAAACTGAAGAATTCCTCACATGTCACTTTTAAAAAATGACCAACCTTAAAGTAACACCTGGCTGAAGAATTAATCTCCCTCCAGGTCGAATGTTAATGTCTCTCTGAACAATGTATTCTCCTGGTTTCAAGCTTTCCATACCATCCACTTCACCTCCCACTCGATTACTACCAGGTTCAATGAACTGTGGCACATGCTGAGGTTGATGTAAACTGATAATAGTGGCACTTGGATTACTACTGTGTAGTAAAAAAGGTAGAAAGGTAATTTTTGCCAAATTATAACGATCTTTCCTGTACAAACAAATAAAACGTTCTTTGTTAAAACATATCATTCATGCAAATATAGCTAATTAGATATCTATTAGTTACAGATTTAAATGAATATAAAGAAAATCCCCACTGCCTTGTGGGTAGGGATGATCCCAAAGGCTAAGGGAAGGAAAATCCTGACAGAAAACGATGGGTGGGAGGAACCCTGGAATGTGAAGCCAATCCTTCTACAGGAGTAAACTTTAGACAAATCCCTGTCCTGCAGGATAAGAAGTTGGATATGAGGCCAGCTACCTTACTTCGGAAAAAAAGAAATGCTACGAAGTCAACTAAAAAAGCCGGATGGAATCCTATAAACCGACCTTCGCAATGGCCAAGAATAATGTAAAAAGATATCAGAATGGCCACTTGGAATGTCAGAACCATGCTTCAAGCTGGAAAGTTAGTAGAAATAGAAGAAGAACTAAAGAAGAATTATATGCAAACAACAGCTTTAGAGGAAATACGATGGTCAGATAGGGAGTACTTAAGAAACAAAGACTATACATTTATGTACAGTGGGAAAACAGAAAAAAGGTGATACGGAGGAATACAATTTCTTGTAAGAGATGAATTGCATAATGGAGTTTGAACCAATTAATGACAGAATGTGCAAATTGAGGATAAAGGACATATTGAGGATAAAGTTTTGTAACATTACAATAGTGAGTGTTAATGCCCAAACAGAAGACACGGAAGCAGATGAAATAGAGAAATTCTATGCTGAAGTAATGAATGTTTCTGAAAGGGTACCAAAGTATGACATGTTAATGGTAATAGGCGATTTTAAAAATCGGGAAAGAGGTAGAAAATGAGACAGAAGCAGGTACATATATGTTACATACAATAACAAGTAAAAACCAAAGAAGGTTGATAGCACAATTGCAAGATCTTATTGTGAGTAGCACCAAATTTGCGCATAAAGATATACATAAGGCCACATGGAAAGCACCGAATGAGCAGGCAGTGAAACAAATTGATCACGTACTAGTTACGAGAAGAAGAGTGAGATGTATTATTAGATGTTAAAACCCGTAGAGGACCAAATTGTGATTCTGATTTCGTAGGGGCTAAAGTAAGACAAGGAATTAACTCCAACAATCCAGGGAAATACAAAAGAACAAAAAGATGGAATGTGGACAAACTTAAGGAAAATCAAGTACACTCCCAGTATGTAATCTCAATCAATGGAGAGCTGGAAGAAATTGAAACAAGCTTTGATTACTAACTAGAATGGGATACTATTAAGAATGCAATAGAAGAGGCAGGTGAGGAAAACATAGGGACAAAACACCAGAGAAGGAATTCAGGGTGGTTTGATGATGAATGTAGAAATGCAATCAAGATGAAGAACAAAGTAAGACAAATATGCCGTCTTGAGGATACTAGAAAGAATAGAGAAATATATGAAAGAGAGAGAGAAAGAGAGAACAAATGCAAAGAAAATCTGCAGAAAGAAAAAATGCAATATGTGAAAAATGGAAACTGAAGCTCTATTGCAGTCCTTCCCAGAACATATGGCATGGAAAGATACCAATGTCAGAAGTAGGAATCATCATCTTGCCTCTGAGACACCGTGGTTTGATTACATCACTAATCTGTGCTGAGCTCTCGCATAAGCGCCCACCGCCCAGCAGTGCCCAGAGTCCACTGTTTTTTTGTTGTTATTTTTTTATTAGTGCAAAGAAATGTGAAAAAAGAAATCTGAAGCCTCAATGTGGTTCCAAAAATTCAGAGACCTGCAAACCTAAATGACTTCAGTTGAGACAAACAATGGAGATTCGTCAGTAGTTGAAAATTTATGTGATTAATAGAACTTAAAATGATTTAAACTTGTGTTTGTAACCAAGTATAAAAAGAAATATATGAACCAGAAGAGAAAAGAAAAATAATGTCTAAATACATTACAAAAGAAAAATATGTCTAAAAAAGGCACTTATGACACAAAAGACGAAAAAAAGGCAAAATAAAAATTTGTCAGAATGTTTGGTTTCCCATAATTCAGACACACATATTAATTACCTTTAAATATTTGCACTAGAATAAAATAGGTATTTTGCTAAACATCCGATGTCTACTAATGAGCAAGAACAGTTCTGTTGAGTATCAAATATGGATCAAACTTACCTATCAAATATTCTGGGATAGATTTCTTTTTCAGTTTGAAAACCAAGCCAATTGTATGTACAGTTGATTATTTTGCTTTGGTCTTCTAAATGAGATCCAACTTCATAGTTCGATTCTGGATTATGAATGATATTTCTGTAGATATCAACATTGCTGGAGCTAATAACAACAGGAGCTGCCACTCGACTACGAGGAATAAGTTTATGTCCCTCTCCCTCCTCAACATCAAAAGGCTCCCTGATTCGATTGTCTTTGACAAAGTTTTTTGTGAACAGCAATTTTTGAACTTCACTGTATGGAGATAAACCTAAATTTACAACATACACTCCATGATTCGAGTCAAAGTAATTATTTTCTACAAAGAGTGTCACAGGGAGGGTTTCAAATTCTTCTAAAAGTCCATTTTTCACAAGAATACAACCATACAATTGGTCTTTAAATCTGTTAAATTCAATTTTTCCATGTAAATTCAATGCTGGCTGTATCTTTATTCCAAGTTTTTCATTGTGCATAAATGTATTATGCCCAATTTGCAAGTGGAGTACTCCAGCATTTGATCTCCAGCACGATGAAATCTCAATATCTGTTTCCCTACTATCATTAAACCAATTTCCAGAGATATTCACAAAAGAATTACGACAGAAATTACCAACAATAACACCTATTTCATAATTTTTGAAAATCTCGGAATAAGAAATTACGGTGGACTGATTGAGTTCTAAATACGGGTCATGAATACTGTCATTAAACCACACTGCAACTCCATATCCTTTGTTTGATGATAAAGATGTCCTTGTGATGTTGCGATTTCCTCCAGTGTAAGTGATATTAATTCCATCTCCATTATTGAATGCTATACGACTATCTGAAACATTAAGATCTCCTGCTCCATGAATTAGGTTTATACCAGCCACGTGATTATTTGATATAGAGCTTTGATGAACATGTAGTTGGCTGCGAATATTTTCCACTGTCACACCTCTTCCATTGTTGTCAGATACTGAGGAACTTGTGATATTTAGATCATATGTTTTATCTAGAAAAACAACAAAATGTAATTATTGCTAAAATTTCTACAATGCATTTATTACAAAAGTTTTGACAGCAGAAGCACATACGGTAACCAGAGGTTATCTTGAAATAACCAAAGAGCTGCACTTGAGGTTTTGCCACAAAGCGTATGAACACATTATTGCGACTGCTTCTTACACTCTGTGGCTTAGTTCCATTACGAAAATTAATTTTCGTCAAAATTGGCTCATTTGTACTTATTCCATCATAAATTTCTAAGACACCAGTATCATTTTGATCAGTAGTCATGGAAATAAAATGAACAGTGATTACTTGGTCATTTTGTGTGAAGAAAGACTGGAAAATCAATCAGAATCCTCAGAAAAAAATTCACTCACTTTTCACAACATACATAATAACAAAAATAGTGACACCTTTCTGATGTTAAATCTCAAAATAAATTACCTGAGAACAATCTTTCTCATAACGTTTCAGTCTGTCTTGTTCAACAGTTAAAAACAAAGGATATGATTGCCTTCCAGTTGTTGGAATTGTGCAGAAATCAAAGAGATCTTTTCTGTTCAGTCTTTCTTCAATTCGCTCATCATGATGAACATATTTCACACCATCTCCACCATTTTCTGTAACGGTACAACCATCAAGGTAGGCCATTCCTGAGGAACTATTCATGTACACGCCATAACCTGTAAGAATCAATTTTACATTTACAAAACTATTTTACAATGTAACTGTCTTCCATGCATAGCTAAAATGCAAACTAACCTCTATTGTTTCTGAACGTGCAGTTATTGAAGATTATAGGAGCATTTGGTATTGAAACATTCACTCCATTGTAGGCTGAATGTAAAATTGAAGAATTTATCATCTGAGGAGGCACTCCATCAACTTGTATTGCTGATACAGCAGCATAATTCCGACCTGACCCAGCAAATCTGAAATTACAACTTTCGTACAACTTTGTCTGGCAAAGCATGTTCAGTATTAAAAGTTAGATTCTAAGGATCATTACAAACCTGATTTCAGTATTGACTAGTTCTGACAGAGATCTTTCAATATAAGTATTATGTTGGATTATAATACGATTTGATTTGGCATTCTCAAAATTTATTCCACGCCAATGTTTCACAATCTTAAGCGAAGACACATGCTTTGGAAGACACTGAATGCCAATGTCTGGATGGTAATCTAGAAACATCCACAATGAAAGAGCAGTTGATATACTAAATTGATAATATTTATAATAGAATCAATAAATATAAGTAGAATCAATGAATGTAGATCTATGACAACATACCACAAACACCAGAGCCCATTTGTCTACTATTCCAATCACACTCGTGCAAAGTACTTTCTGTTCCTCTGCACTTTGGTTCTTCCAATAATACACGAGGATCATGCCCAGGTACTCTATCAAGCCAATTCCACCATTCTCCTCCTTGAAATCCAAGGTGTCGACACACAACATCTATATCAGCACGAGTCCAACTGAAATTTTAAAAAATTGGTAATTTACAAAACCAGCAAGTAGAGAAGATGAAAAATATATTCAATACATTACACTGATCATTGTTGAAATACGAATATGAAGAGTTGTGACAAAATATGTAAAACAAATTTACTGCCTTTTCCCCATTTTTCACACCATGAACATCAATTTTATCTGACTATATTGAAATTAATTTCCAGAGACCTCAAACACATCTGTAGAGGGTGGCAATGATTTTTAAAGAAAGTAACAAATTTAAATCAACAAACATTTTGCTTACTTTCCATTAAAAGTTTCTCAAATTATGTCTTTCTTATGGCCTACCTTCATTATAATTAATAAAATGCACAAATTAATTAAATAATTACAAAAATTATGGTTACCAAGTTCATAACCAGGGAAAGCATACATGTGTGTTTTTAGGGAATTTGTTTACTGATTGAATTCATTATAATTGAACTATACATTTATATAACATATGTAATATTCCAGTAGCCCTCGGTGGCTTGTTGGTTAGCATGTTCTCTTTCCACAGCTCAGCCCTGGGTTCGACTCCCGGTCAGGGCAAAAATTAATTGTATGCTTTCCTTGCAATGGCTCTGTATCTGTTTCTATGTGACGATGAGAAAGCTCACTTCTCAGGTTGAGAATACCAGAAATACAGCAATAGGATGTTTATGTGCTAACCCCGCATACCCCTTATCCCATGACCCCAAGGCCACGACGCTGCTGGTAGGCCTTAGCTTGTAAAGAGCTGTTGTACCAAAGTGCATATATACAGATATAATATTCTTTCATATTAAAAATGTCCTCGCTAATTAATAAAATGGATAAATTGTAACATATATGTTATGTGTGTAAAATTGACTACACTGACTTAAATGTCCAGTATATGCTTTAATTGCAGTTACATAATGAGTGCAGACTAATTTGAAGCGTATGTGTGGGATTTGCATTTATCACTTTATAAGATAGTACTTCTTCAATGGAATTTTATGAATCATATTGATTGAACTGAAATACGATATGCTCATTGCAGTGGGAGATTACTAGATGTCTGTGACAATCCCCCTATTTTTAACATGCTTTACATCTTGTGTATCATTTTGTGGAATAATTTTGGTTTCCTTATTTGCACAAAGCAATTTCAATTTCTTACTTTTGAAATACTTGCCCTTTTAGGTTTTACTCTTGCTTCCACTGAACCCTCGACAATGGCTGGGCAAATTAATAGTACATTAAATTAATTATGTAAATATGCAATGTAATTAAACAATCAAATGAACCCAGGAACACTGTGATGTACTACAAATATAAAGAGCTTTTAAAATATAGAAACTTTTTGTATTGGACAATATCTGTAATTTCACGAAGTGATCTCCAATATTCATGAGAAATTTTTCAATTTTTATTGATTTATCTGAAATTTGGTATTATATACTATGAACAATGCCAAAACACTTCTCCTACTTTTATGACCATGAGTCATAATTCACCACTCGCTTATTGCTATAATATCTACTACCAGGAATTCCACTCATTTCTCTGTTTTACACTGACGCTATGAAGAGGTCAACCATTGAAAAGATGAAAGATTAGCAAAATTTTAGTTATTATTATATTATTTTATTAAAAATTAGATACGTTAGTTTTACACTAAACCAATCCACAAAACCATACATTCAATTAAAAATATTACACTAGAATATTTATTTTGACCATCGACTATACTTCTTGTAATCATTAAATGAAGTTTGGGAAATGTTTGGTGATTTTGCGTGCATGGTTCCTGTACACTTGGGTTTATATCACAGCAGTTATTGGATCTGCGAATCTTTGATTGATTGATTGATTGATTGATTCCGGACGCGTCAACAAGTTAAAGTTATTAGTTCCGTACATGTAGTACATGTTTCTTTTCTTGGGAGGTGGCTGTGATCTTCCCCCGCTGGATGATGAGAGTCGACGCTGACCGACCGTCGGCCAGCGGGGTTTCCTCCAAACGGATCTCCCAGCAGCGGGGCACCGTCTCAGGCGAGACGAGCTGGAAGCTCCCGACTTGACCTCTCGACATGTGGGAGGATAGTACATGCAGTACAAACAGTAAGTAAGAGGTGAAGAAAGGGCGAAGAAGAGGAAGGAAAAATCACACGCGGTCCGTGTCCTGTTTTTTAGGGTACTGCTCCGCCATTCGCCTGGTGTTGGTCGGAGAAAACACGGAAAACTACCAATCAGAACAGCCGGCAGCTAAAATTCTCCTCCGGCGACTGAATTCGAGCGAACTATGTAGCTAGTGTTGGAAATCCTGCAACGGTCGAGGCTAGAACCCTCGGACCTCCCGGTCAGAGGTACCTACTGCAGTATCAAGTGACGCGGCCGCGGCAACCGTCATATATGCGAGTGGAGTGCGGCGCGCCTAAGGTTTGCGGGGCAGTGCCGGATCGGTTTCGTGCTGCAAGGACATAAGGCATGTCCTCAAATCATGGTCGGACTCTTCTCCGATTAAAACAGGGCGTATTGACCGGAACGCGGTCATCCAATAGGGAGCTTCAATTTCAAAAATTAAGATGTAACGAAATTCCCGATTGGATAACAGCGTCTCAACGAATCAAACGTTAATTCGCCCTCTGTTTTAATCGGGGTGTACACATGCACTACACTACCAGACTTGTCGGGAGACCAGACGGGAGCTTAGAGCTTGTTCCGGCTGGGGCGGTGCCGCTCTGGTAGGGGATACCTGGTTGGGGAAAATTCCTACCAGGCGACGTAGGACGGCGCCGGATCTCGCCATCCAGAAGGGGAAGATCATCGCCGCCAGCTCCAGCGATAAAACATGAACTACACTTGCGGGACTAATGACCGTTGAACCCGGAATCACTATCAATTCAATAACCATTAATCATTCCAACAAACAATAATCCAATTAAATAAATCGATTTAATTGCAGTGTAGCCGCAGTGCGACCGTAACAATTGAAAACCCTTCGCTGAGAGGGATCATTTTTCGGCCGGTCGTTGTCACCCAATTCAAAGTAGCGAACAACGCAGAAAGGTTCATTGCAGTGATGGAGCTTTGTCGCCAGCGAGATTGTTAACATTATTGTTTTTTATTAAGATATTTTCAATTCATATTGTAAATCTCAGTCTGTTTATAATATGGCGTACATTTCTACATTATTTACAAACAAGTAGGGTTTGGGAGTAAATGTAGAATATTAAAGGCTGCATAAAATATACAGTAATTCACCTCAGCATTAACATAACTTAAAACGATGACTATAATTACTTTGTTTTCTTATTTGTTAGAAGTAGCAGGGTAAACTATTCGCAATTAAATTAAAAATGTATGTAATTATTAAATGAAGTGAACAAAAACTTTAATAATTCTTTTTAGTGTAATAGTAAAATGCAATTGTATTGTGCAATATTAATAATGTACGACAAAAATGCAGTGAAGCCTGCTCAAACATACACCTCAATTAATACACCTCCACCATTAACACCTCCAATAACGGTCACTTTTTCATGGAACCGATTGATTTTTCCATAAGACACTCAAAAATTCCCTGTTTTGAGTGGCCACCTGGTCAGTGACCAGGTACAGGATTTCGTAATTGAGCTATATTAAGCGGTCACGTCTAGCGGTTTTTGAGTTTAATAGAATAAGGAGCGGAAGAGCGGGTCACATACTGTTGCTTCAACATCTTCCTGCGAGAGGACGCATGGTCAGATTATTTAGAACAGTGACAACAGTGGCTTTTCGACCAAGAATTTAATTTATGTTTAAGGCAAAAACACACGGTTTCAATAAATGTCCCTATGAAATAACAACGCGTTCGCTTCGGAGCAATCTCTTGAAGTTCGCCGATCCCTTCTCTGTGGGAATTTGTTAACGGCCGGTGAAGTACGCAGTGAACGCGAAACCGATCTGTTAGTCATTCGCGAACTATTTTCTGGGACAGCCCTGCCCACAGAAGATTACATACATTTTCAGGTCTAGTTTGCTTAAAAGTGAAGCATTTTTGTAATATTTTTTGCAGTTAATACCTCGTAATTCACACTTTATCTACAATTACGGTAGCTGCGGATACCTACCTCCGCCAGTGATTTATGCCCAAATGCAGAAGAGGAAAGTAGAGGAATATGAACTATCCGGAGTATTCCGATCACTGGCGGCTCGTGCTTAGGTTGCACGGTTGCACAACCCCCAAATAATCGAATAACATCTCATAATATATTAAGAATATACATTTTTATTTTAATGACATTCAATATTCAAGATATTGCAACTTGATTGATATATATGAATCCATTTTGAAACCAAAGAGCGTTCAACTAACGCTCTCTCCGGTGCCTGGTTCCTTGCCGGGTATTGCCCCGTGCTCTTGGCTGTGTTACTGGGTTTACTGCATTTACTTTTTGGCCCTTCGATTTAACTCTGCAAACATAGGCTTTTTTGATTGGGCAACCAGGAGGGTGGCGCTGTCTAGCGCTGCGCGGCGACCGAAGGAGTCTCCGGGTATCCCAATATTCTGTCTTCGTCCGACTCGCTGCATCGTAATTTTATAAATTTCGCTTGTTATTGAAAGTAAACAAGTTTAGTCAATTATTGACGGCATTTAATGCATTATTTGTGTAATGCGGCATTTAATGCATTAACGAATTCTTTGTGTAAAGTTGACCGTTCTGGAAGGAAGCCCCTTTCTCGGTAATTAATATTTCCGCTTGCAGTAGCCTGCATGAAGAACGCTGGTATGTACGCGCGTACGTGTGAGTGGAAAGATATTTATAACAATACCAGGGTAGTGAAATTTTTGAAATAAAATAATTTTACAGTCGTGCGGTGTGCTGGAGTCGATTAGTGCCCAGTAAAAATCAAAGAGACCACGTGCGTGAGAGGTGTATATACCTGAACGAACACGACAATTGCGTAAGTAATGTTTTAACATAGACTGTCATATAACTTACTTTTAATTAGTTGGAATTGCTTACATTTTTATTGTATATTTGTATTTTATATTTTGGAAACTACATTTCCGTCATTCGATGGAGGTGCAACCTCCAGTCTATTGGGGGCACCAGCCGTCACTGATTCCGACGAAAGAAGAAATTTTGAAATATAGTTAAGAGATCTGTTTTCATCAAGAGATGTGATTGGAATATTTTTTCCCTGGTTGTCGCTATGGCGATTTCGAAGATACAAATAAACTACTGCATTTGCCTCTTCCACGCCATCTTGACAATAAAGTGAGGCGAGAAAAGTCGCAACGCTGAGAAAACAGTACGGCGGCGCGCCGCGGTTGAACCGAGAGGAAAAGCCAACTGAACAGCCTATATAGCAGTGAGTCGCGGAGGTTCGATGGCAAGTGCAAAATGAGCCCTCAATCCCTTCGTGAGATCAAACGAAATTCTCGAAAAGTACTGGTTGGATAGTCCAGCTATTGATTCCGGATCCAACAATATTCTCTACACATTTGCTGGTTGAAGTGGACGAAATTAGCATTTCATTACTAATTTCGGTCCTAATTTCCCGTGATCAGTTCGAACTTTATTCCCAACTCAAGTGATTAAATAAATTAAATCATCCAGCAGTGACGACTAGGCTATAGCGCGGTCACTAACTTTTTTCAATTCATTCATTTTATAATTTTCATCATGAAACATACCCCGAATATGTGGATTCTCGGATAATCGAATCCTGGTTAGTGGAGTTTCCACCATAGTTTGTTACAGTTACATAAGCGACAATATGTTTTCAAATTTTGCCAACAATGCACGTTGTTTTCTTTTATTCATTGTTCAACTAAATGTGGCAAAGGAGGTAGGGTTCGTGCTGCTGTTGAATCCCCGGACCTCAATTCCAAAAAAATTAAAGAATTTACTTTAACTGGTTTGGGGATAATTGTAGATCAATTGAAAAATACCTTAAAAACAATAATACATCTTACAACATACATATGAAATAATATATGTAATTTACTCACTTTCTCGAATTGGTACATACTGATCTCCAGTTACCAAGATGATATACTTGCAAACGACCGGTCAAAATATTGGGACCATCAATGAGTCGCACTGGTGGTATATCCTGTGTTATCTCAGGTTCTAGACTGCTCGTGAAAATTACAGGTGCTTCAGGAATACCCTAGAAAAGAAAATATTCTTAGGATCATACTTTTTACAACACAATTTCATTTATAACACGTCAAATTTATTAAAAATGCGTCAAAACATTTTCAAAAGTACATTAAAGTAACAATATTAATGTTGTTCCATAGCATAGGCTGGATTTTCAGCAAAAGCGACTGCTGCAGCTTAGTTTCACATCGTGTAAAGGGATCTTGTCTGTTATTTGTAAAAATTAGCACTAAACAGTTTACGAAGCATCTTTTTAAGCGTCCGTATTTTATTTTGTTTTTTCCACGTCGCGAAACAAATATACCGGTATACCGGTATTTTGGTTTCTTTAAAACCTAGAATACTTAGAAAATATTCTGCAATCTCATCCCGGGCACTTACTTTGAGGGGTAACAAGTGCCTTGATAGGTTAACTACTTGGTTTCCAACACTCTGCTCTTTGAAGAACGAAGAATGAAACCTGGATTGGTGATTCTTTCAGACCATTTCAAGCGGTGCAGTCTTCGTCAAATATTTTGTGACGAAAATGCCTAAAATGGGAGTTTTTTCGTATTGCATATACTAAGAAAAATCTATTTTAATGTAATCATCCGCAATGTCACTAAACTAATTGTAATTTGAAAACACTGACGAAAAGTAATACATTACCGTGTTTTGGATTGCCTTTGCACCCTGTAAGTATAGCAATTCCTGTACTTTTTAAAATAGACATACATCAATAGAACAGAGCGACTATTCTATAAGTATACCGCTATTGTGAAAAATTCTGCTCGGGCGACGGGCCCTAACTCGCCGGGAACGGTGCGCTCCACTCCCCTGGGAACGCAGCGAACGGGAGGGTTTGAAGGTGTCGCCCTGCACAAGGCACGATTTCCAGTTTTGTTGAATAGTGGGTTTTAATGGCTCGCTCGAAGTTCACTCTCAAACAGAAAGTGTTTGTGTACGCATCGTATCCTGGAGCCTTTCTTTCAAACGTTGACAAATGAAGAGAGTAATTACGGTCATTTTTAACAGAACTCTGCAACCGCACACACGGCTTCAGTTTCCTCAAGTGTTTACGTTGCGTTTATGGAGACAGAATTATCACACGTGGTTTATGGCCTGCACGCTCTTTTGATCTGTCTCCGTGTCATTTCTTTATTTGGGAGATTTCTGAACTTATTTAAATGTCAAGGATGAATCAGAGCCGCCGTGAGGAATACCAGCATCTGCTTTTACGTGAGTTCAATTTAAACTTTACGGTAGCGAAAAGCCCCCTTCCCTCTTCGGTGATCCTACAGACCACCCTGTCTCGATTTTCCCGGCATCCGGCAAATCCCCGCACGACCAGCACACTAAAGAAAAGGCCATACTGTGTCATTGTAAAACTACCTTGAGCGTATACGATCAGAAGCATGTATAATTAGTTTGTTCCCTACTTATAAATGTACCAGCACATGTACTATGCTTGCGACTAAGCAGCACGAGGAGCTGCCACCTCCTTGTTTCAAGTGAATATTTTATTTTTCTGGTGGTTCAGCGGTGGTCAGCCATATTTGTTAATTAGGAGGTTTCCAGGCCCCCTTAGTTTAAATAAACTAGTAATAAAAGGCACGAACATTTACACTGCCTGACAAAAAAAGTGAAGCACCCAGTAGGAGTGGTTAGAAGTGAATGAAACTAAATATGCCGAAAGACCATGTGACTTTAATGAACTGATTACGATACGGGATAAAAGAGACCAGGCTGTTGGCAGTTACAGATTGAAAGTGGCCGCCAGGTCAGCAGGGTGTCGCACTTCCTCTGGCTGCAAAGCATGCCCTTATGCGGTTCGGAATGATGTCAAACAGCCTTTGGATCCTCTCTTGAGGCAAGTTTGTCCATAATACTGTCGTAGCAGTTCCACCAGATCCAGAGGATTGGTACTGCGCCGGAGTCCCCTTCCAAAGTGTGCATCCCATGCGTGTTCAACGACGGCGAGGACCGGGGATCTTGCTGGCCACGGGAGGATCTCAAAATGCTCTAAGTAGTTCACACGTGGTGTGCGTGGGCGTGCGTGATCTTGTTGGGACACTGTCCCAGGGTGCTGAGCCATTCGGGGTACGACGTGCGGACGCAGAATAAGTGTGACGTATCGTTGTGCCGTCATATCTGTCGGAGCACTGTTAGGGGTGATTTGAACGCACATCCGATGGCTCCCCTCACCATGATGTCAAGGGTTACTCCTGTGTGTCTCTCCACAATATGGGCAGGATGTGCCCTGTGCCCATCTCGCCGCCACATTCGGATACAATGGCCATCGCAGGTTATGGAACTCCTCGCTCAACATGATGCAACGCCATTCGTCCTCTCTCTCTCTCTCTCTCTCTCCATGCTTCCCGGACACGGCACCAATCCAACGCCAACGTCGGTGTTCGGGTGTCAATGGCAACCGACGCATGGGGCGGTGGGACCCTAATCCGGCAGACTCGAGTCGCCGAGCCACTGCGCGGGAACTCACAAGCTGTTGTAAGTCGCCAGTTACATGTTCGCGGATGGCGGACGCGGACGTCATGGGATTCCGCACTGCTTGGCGCACCATGCGACGGCCCTCCCTCGGGGGTAGCTTCTTGATCGACCCGAGCCTCCACGACCTGCACAGGAGCCCTCATGTACACACTGATTACAACATCGGGTCACTGTGATATCTGAACGTCCTACGCGCCTGGAAATTGCACGATACGACCAACTAGACTCAAGAAGTCCCACAACGCGGCCTCTGTCAAACTCAGTCAATTGATCGATAAGGCGCCCAACGCGTCTCTGCGGTGTCGCAGGTACTTCATACTGCACGTAAACGTTGTTCTTCACTGCAGGACTCACAGAAGTGGACTGCAACAGCAACAGAGCGGTGACACCACGAATGCATTTAGTGGGCGTTCTACACATTACAGATACGTGCGAATCTAATAATTTATTCACACATGAATGATATGCATGTATACGAAAATTGGATAATATCGGACCGCTCCTTCTAGGAGCAACACTTTTTTTCGTCTGGCAATGTCTGGACAAAAAAGGGCTTCATCCACTCCGCCAAATAATGGGGAAAACTTTAAATACATCTGTTGATAATTTTTTTCGATATCACACTTTTTACTTCTTCTCTTAACGAAGATGCTTAGATATAATCGTGCACCGGAAAAGGGCGAATTTTCAACAGAAAAAACTCATTGTCGGGCCTTGTAACGAAAAAGTAGATATTTCCTGTTGCTATGTATAGTATATTGGTTCCTCTCACACGTGGTGTAGCATGAATCCATGTCCTTGATACCGGAAAATCAACTGACGGCTTAACGTTCGTCTGTCCGCGACTGTCCAAAGAGGTTCATTTTCTCCAAAATTGATATTCCCCGATCGATTAAAAAAAAAAAAAAAAAAAAAAACACGAGGCTTTGAGAGTTTCAAACAAATATTTTGATTTGTGAGGGTACTTTACATGAAGTCTCAAAGTCATGTTCAAAATTTTCTCATAAATAGCTCCATTTTTTTATTAAACTTTGTCCGCGGTAGCGTAAAGGATACTTAAGAGAATGATACAGGTTTCATGTTCGTTGAAATCCCAGATTGTTTGAAAATTACCGAAGTTTTGCAATTTGCAAATTGCAATTTTTTGGACGTCTTCTAAAAACTATATTGAAGATATGTATTTTTTAAATAAAATCTGTTCCCTAAAGACAGATCTTCAAATAATTTCATGTTCAATTTTTTTTACAATAGGAGTATTTTCCCTGTAATTTTGCGCGAAATATAGGCGATTAAACAAAATTAACATTTTTTTTCAAAAACCGCTCCAAGATTTTTCTTTACATTTCTAAAGGAAAATAAAAAATATGGTGCTAATCCCATTTTCGGCGAAATGTTGGTTTTACGGAAAATTGCAAAATAGTTAACTTTTCAAAACTACGAAGCTGAAAATAGACTGTTTCTGAAAAACAAACAAACTTGAAGTCTCTAATTTTTTCACGGATAGAAGAAGAGACACTTAAAAGAATCGTGCGGGCCTAATTTTCGTCTCTACATTTTCGAATGTTGGAAATTTAGAAATAATGAGAGAAAATTTGCTGTTGAAGGACCCACTAGTTTCAGTTGTATCTCCTCTCTCGGTTGGTTTTAAGAAATACTACTACTCAGTCGTTTTAAATGCAAAAACACCAATTACGGCCTGTAAAATATCTTCACGTAAAACCTGGGCAATTTTAAATCATAAGAGTATGAAAAAAGATGACGTTATTCCAATACGTATCTCATCTTGCCTTATACCAATGTTTTTCAACTGTAACAAAACATTAAAAGTAATACTAGGCAACAGAGGTGGGATCCGGGGGGAAGGGGCAACTGTCCCCCTATTGTAGCAACAAAGTTAAAAAAAATATATTTAGACATTTAATTTCGCGGATCTTCAAATTATTATAAATCACTAATTAAGTGAACAATAATTTAAGCTAACCTAAAAACATACATTAATAAATTTGTAAACTTTAGTTCAGTATTATGAAATGCGTGAGATAATGTTCAGTGTTACTGTGATTAACCCGTGTGAGTAAATCATTTTTCAATTATGTTGCTTTTAAACTTATTTACTCAGAAATTACACAGTCACGTGCCTAAAATCATGATCCATATAACATTCTAATTAACTCTAAAAAAGAAAGAGCATTTCTTGTTTATTATACACATATGATAAATGGTACTCAAATTTCAAAACCCAAGCATCTACAATATATTTTATTTATATACGTGTCTTATATTTATGTTACGCTTCAAATACACATTGTGAGCAATACGGATTATTAAATATACAAATGATTTTGAGAGAAACTGTTTATTATATTATATATTTCTAGTATATTTTTTCTTATAATGTAACTAATGAATACTATTTGCTTGATGTTAAGTGCACATTGAGAAGTATTCGTAGGCTTCCGCGGTCGGAGTCATTGGATACTTGGATATCCGGGATGTACATTGAGAAACTAGTGGTTCTAA